ACCTCTCCCACTCAGGGGCGGCTCGTGGGGCTAAAAAGTGGATGTGCACAATTAAGCTATCGCAAGCTGAAGATAGTCAAGGGCATAGTAAATAAGACGGTGGATAATTTTAGGATCTTTGGGGTGGTGAGGGAGGACCTCGTGCTTTTATTTTAATTCTTTTTACTTTTCGCTTTGATTTCTAGTACTAAATTTGTTTGTTAGAGCTCTAAACATCAATTTCGTTCATCCTGAACACTAAAGTAATAACTTTCACTTCTCCACGACAAAACCATTCAAAGGCACAACTCAATAGGACAGTCACGTTCACCTCCCTTAGGTTCACGGTTACAGCGTCACTTAAAGTAGTGCAAAGACGGACAATGAACCAATCACAATTCATTTGAGCACTCCGCTGGATTGCTCCAGGGCTCACATAATATTGGCAAAGAATAGCGTACAGTCTATTGCATTTATTTTTAGGCTGTCTGCTGTGGGCTGTGTTTCGGCACTGTTCCACAGGAGCACATTTGAGATCTGCCGTCTTATTAATATATTAATGTACCGCCAACCTCTCTACGAGTGTCATCATCGTTTGGGTTATCCCCAAGAACGACTAAATAGGTCAGGTCACACTGTTGAATATACAGTCGAACCTGCCCTGACGGCCACCTCTATAAGACGGCCACCTGTACAAACAGCCACTTTCCATTTCCCCCCTTGCGTTTTTTCTATATAATTTAACTGTGTAAAACAGGCACCTGTCCAACGCGGCCACCATATTTTAACGCACAACCCTTATCACACTAAGCAATAATACCTGTCTTAGACGGCCACCTTTGTGACTCCATTACGTTTTGTCATAAATTGTGCAGTGGCCCCTGGCGTTGTGGGCGAGCCGTCATAATTCAATCACCTGTCATTGTTGTTAGGTAGTCCCTCCAACCGATCATGTTGCGTAGGCCCCTCCCACTGTTGACCAATAGCTACCAATTTTCAGCTGCTGTTGAGGTTTAAAGCGTGTGATCCCTCATAACCCATAAACCCCGCCCTGAACTCATACGCAAATCGTAAGTGAGATGAGTTGTCACTTTTTACCCAGTCTGTAACAAAGTCACAAAGGACGTCAACATGAACTTGTGACAGAAGCGTAGCTCGTTCTCCGAGTGGTGGCGACCCATGTGTTTGTTTTAATATGGTACTCGGTCTTCCTCGTCTGATACATTTAGTTTTATTGACACCCTTGTGCAAAATAGCAACAAAATAAAAATTACAAACAAAATACAAACCGCCACCACCACCACCACCACCACCAACAAAAACAACAGCAATGCGGCTACTTTTGATTGGGACCTCAGATGGAAAGGTTTGTTTTCTTCATCTTGATCAGTCCTGCCTAAGACGGCCACCTGTCTTATACGGCCACTTTTCTCCTTGACAATGGGTGGCCGTCTTACACAGGTTTGACTGTATATATATCCTATTATGTTTAGTAAAACTAAAAGCGCGTGGACTTTGGCATGGCATAGTAGATGTTTAATGGCGCTATAGACACAGAAATGACAGTTATAATGGTGCCAGTGAGGACCTTGTTTTGATAATATTCGGCTAGAGTTTGTTTCTGGCTTCTTTTATCAAGTCTTATTATTGTGGGTGTTTTACGTAATAGAACATAAAAATATTTTGGGCGGCAGAGCACGGCCGTGCTCTATGGACGAACCACGCCTGCTCCCACTCTCTTTTTAAATTAGGCCTACGCCTACTTCTTACTTTAAAATAGTATTCTCTCCACACACACACACACACACACACACAAGCTTTTAGATCTAGAATCTAGTTCAACAGCCTTCTTTCTCCTAACATCAAGACAACGCCCTTAAATTCTTTGGGACCCTGTACACTACACACCCAGACCTGTGAAAGGCAGTTTCTCACTCTCACCTCCGGTTAAGATTATTAGGTCTAGTGATGGAATACAATAGATCTACACACAAACCCTTCTTTTGTGATGACGAAATTTCAACCTGTTATTGCCCCTCTGCGTTTGCCTAGAGTACTATGCTGACAGAGACACACCTTTATAGAGTAGAGATATTAGATCTAGATCTAGATTCTAGATTCTAGATCTATATTCTAGATCTATATATATCTAGATTCTAGATCTAGATTCTAGATCTAGTAAAGATTATTTTTCTGGAGAATCCTTTGCCTTTGTTCTTCAACTTTAAATCAATGTTTAAAGCTTGAACTATAAAAACCAAGTTCTAATTATAAACCAAAAAATTCACATTTCAAGTAAAGAGAATAGAGATCTAAAATTGAGACAAGAAATCCTCTTCGTTAGGATTGCACACAATAAGACAAGACTCATCAATACTTCTAAGGGAAAAAACATCCAATTTTCTTTTTTTGTAAATCTCATTCTCACCGCACATTGTGGATAGTGGTTTTCCCGGTGTCTTTCACACAAAAAAATGAACTTCAGTCAAGTCGCTTGTGCCCGTTAGCTTAGATCTTAATTCTGGAACAAGCACAGTTCATTTATTAGGCCTACGGTCCCTTCCTTTCCGAATTTTGCCTCACCCAGATACCAGTTTGATGAGTTTGTCGAAACCGGGCGGCCACATATCACACAAACACAGCTGATATGACCCGTAAAACTTGACCCCTTTGCCAACTCCGGTTATTTTATTAGGATCCGGTAGTGCTGGTAAAAGTTGTTGTTTTTCTTTTTTAAAAATAATAATAATACTAATCACCGTGTAAAATGTACTTCGAAATCGCAACATTCATTCCTGTGATCCACTTTTTTCTGATTTTCATGTTTACAAATTTTTTTTTTACTACACAATGGTATTGTTTACTTGGACAATGAAAAAGTCAATAATGGTGGTAAAACAGAGACCTGTGAAAAAAATGTACTTGTAACATCATTATTATTAGGTATACCTTATTATTATGTTAAAAGGTAACAAAAAAATACTCTTAAATTTCTGCTGCTGAAAAAATTATAGTTTAGACAATATAGGGGGCCCTTTCAGGCACGATTCTAATTAAATAACCTAAATAGGGGGCAAAAAAAGGGGGGGCGTTCTTTTGTACATTTTCGATTTTCTCCAGTCTACAATAACTGCCAGGAGTTGGCAGACAGGGGAGCGCACTCCGCCATGCTCCCTCTGATACGGTGTCCATTACATTTCCCCCCCATAAAACTCTAGACCAGGGAGATCAATCACCGATGAGGTGCACGGTCTGAAAGACATTGAACAAACGGGGAGTTCGTTGGATCTCACAATATATTTTTTCTTAATTTCTGAAGTCTTTCAGAGTCATGCAGAGTCAGGCTAACTGATTTTTCTCAATTAGTTTCCCTTCTGTTTGCCCATGATATCAAACATGAAATCATTGAAAAAGGTCTAGATTTACTATGTAGATTAATGTAATAATATAAACTCGCATCATTTCATCCATGAGGCAAACAAAACGTCTTAACATAAATAGTCGCTGTCACTGTAAATGAATGGTAGTACGCGTAGTACCAACCCTCTGTGGTAGTACAGAACAGTTCATTCAAGTTCACACGTAATTGGTTGAAGAAAAGGCGCAAGCGATAGCTAGTAGCTTGAAAGCCGTTTATAAATTACAGTATGTGTATGCTATATATTATATTGATATCTAGAGTTATATTATGTCAACAATTGAGTCAATCTTGTGTTCCACCTAGTGTTTCAGTTTATGTTGTTGTCATGCTGCTGTGAATGTTGCTTCGTTTTTTGTTGTTTTGAGAAAATACGTGTGTACGTTGAGTTCTTTCTCAATGACTACCTTTTCATAATTCTTAATTGTTTTCCATTTATTTAAACAAATGAAAAAGAAAAGAAAAACCGATCGTGTTCTAGATGAACGTTCCTCAAAGTAAGTAATAGCGCCACGTCAACTACTGCCACAGAGTTGTTTAGCTTCCAGATCATTTACAGAGTTTGATTTTTTAATTTTTCTTTTTTTTTTTCTTTTTTTTGGTTCGATCTCTGTCAATACAGTTGGCATGTTGTCAATGGTCAACACAGGCCACCACGCGCTCTAGCTGTTGGTGGCTCCCTCGACCCTTAGGGAAGTTTGTTTTGCACCAACGGAGCAAGCCAGGAATAGGGAGACTATAAAAAGTATAATGTGCTAACTGCCCAGTCGAACGTGACAGACACGACGGGGATTTCAGTGATTCTACTACGCTTCAATTTCATGATGAGAAGGTGACGGTGAAAAGAAAACGTCCTTTGAGCGGTGTGGTTATAATAACGCCCATTTCCACCACTCTTAATATTTTTTAAAGGGGCGGAGCTTTCCAACATTTAAACGCATTCGCGATAAGACTGTTTAAAGCCATATATACCATGTGGGTTGGAAGGTCTTGAATACATATTGATCTACATGTACTTGAAAAGTCCCCACCCAACGACACAGTTCATGGCCAAGAGCATAATCATAATAATA